GTATAAGACTTTCTCCTTTCAGACGAATCCAATCAGAATTATATAAAAAAAATATCCTGGCTCTTCCAAGCTTTATAATGGCAGTGAGTGGGTGTTTCTTATCAATAGTCCAAAAGAAGTCCAATAAAGCGCATCCATCCATAATAAAAAGTGTCCCACAAGGCTCCGGGGGGCGAATAAAGGCCTCCTGAGGCAAATCAATGCGTTTTTAAAAGAAAAATATCCATATTTAAAACTTTATAAACTGTAATCTCTAGCTTCCGCTAACTGTCGTACGCGCATTCATTCCGGCGGAGGATATAGGCCGTAGACGTAGCGTAAGGTCCGGTGAGAATATGCTAGAGAACCGACGTTTGTTTACAGAAGCAAAGGAAGCAAAGTTTCCTTACTTTAGCAAAGGAAAACCAGTCTCTTGGCTTATATCGAAATCCTCCGACATTGTTCTTTACAATTCTTCGTTTTGTACTTCTAATTCATGACCAGTTTTTTGTTTTGCTCTCTCTGCTGCACTTCCGCATTCGTCACTTCTCACTGGACCTTGCGCTACGTCCTACGTCATCCGCCGGAATGAACACCCGTACGACAGTGACGGTACATTCACACGGGGCGTCGGCGTCAACGCTTGACGGAGGGCGTGTCTGAAGCGATCGTCATAGTGACAACAGCCAATTACATTGGACCGCAATTGGTTAGCGCCTGAGCTAGGCTATTTGCATAAGGCGATCTGATTGGCTGATGCCTCCGTTGGCACTTGAAAAGTTGAGAAATTTTCAATTTCTGCCGTGAGCAATGCCAGTGACAGATGCTGACGGACCCAAAATTCAGTTCGGCAACGCATGACGTCACCCATTCAAATTAAATGAGAAGCGTTAACGCTGATGCCCCGTGTGAATGTACCGTTAGCGGAAGCGGGAGGGGATCCAAGATGGCTTCCTGCTTAGTTTGCTTTTATTGTGCTTCGCTGACAAATCTACTTTTAACTACTTTTTAAAAAACTTTTTAACTACACCATTTGTAATTCTGTTACATGCATAAGTATCTATAAATACTTCATAGTGCCCTTCGGTATTATAAATATGAAATCTGCTGCAGACAAAAGGAAAGAAAAAGAGATGTTGCGTGCTTCATGTGTCTGATAAAGTGAGTTTCAACAGCTATGAGTCTCCCGGTGAGATTCTCTTATCTACTCCTCTTCCAGAGAGCCCAGGTAAGCCCCCTTCTTTTGTTTCCAAGTTCGACTTTTTTTGTGATGGTGCAGGACTCTATTGACGGCTGTAAAATTTTTTGACTTGGCCGTATCTGCGTTTGCTACTTCAGCAAGCTCTGTTATTCTCTGTTCATTGTTAAAAGTTATTTTTGTATGTCTATTTCTGTTATTTCTCTCAATGCCAGGGGTCTAAGAGACATTACTGAAAGGAAGGCTTCATTTTTGTATGCTAAATCCTTTAAGACATATTTTTGTTTTTTTAAGAGTCCCACTCCATTGCTAGTGATATTGCTTTTTGGAAAAATCAGTGGAATAATGACATTTGGATGGCTCACGGCTCGAAGCATTCAGCTGGAGTTTTGACTCTAAAAAACCTTTTTGCTGGGGATGTTTTGCACCATTTCAGTGACCCGAATGGACACTTTCTGCTTATGGTCATCTGTTTAAATAATACTGTGGTTATACTAATTAATGGTTGTAATAGTTCTCTTGAGAATGACTTACTGTCTGAAGCTATAGAAGGGAACATTCTGCTGTGGCTTAATGCATACCCAAATGCTTTAGTTTTCATTGGTGGGGACTTTAATATTGTGCCTAATAATATTCTTGACAGACTGCCACCTAAACAGTCTTCCTCTAATTCTAATTTTAAAATATTTATGGATAAATTTGATGTTATCGACATTTGGAGGGAGAAATTTTCCGATATTAAATCCTATACTCGGAGTAACAAAAGTTGTTCTAGACAGTCCTGTATAGACTATTGGCTTGTTTCACAGTCTGTCAGGGATTTTAATGTTTATGTTAGCATTCTACCTATGACTGATCATAAGGCAACTCTTATCCAGTCCCCTCTATCTTCAGTTTTCTCTTCTTCAAGACCTAGCCTCTTTTTGGAAGCTCAACTCTTCTTTGCTTAAGTATAACCAATTGAGAAAAAGTATTTCATTTTTGATTAAATATTACTGGATCAAAGTACAAAAGGAAAATAAATACGGTCTCAATTGGGAGCTTCTTAAACACAAAGTAGGTAAATGTGCTAGGAATTTTGGTAGCCATTTAACTAGACTTAAAAGACGTGAAGAGGAATCTGTCATCTCTAAAATAATGACTCTCTGTGGCAAAATGCAGGATGGTTTGTCAGAAGTCGAGTGGTATTGCTCATATGATGAACTGATTAGAGAAAATGATTTGCAGATTCCTATCGCTCTTGATCTTATTAACATGTTCTCTAAAGCTTCTGGTCCATCTTTGAATTTAGATGTGAACTTCTGCCTATAAAGTCTTGTTCTGCCCCATTCTTATACACTATTCCTGGAAAGTCCCAAGTAAACTATATAGGTGTTGTCATTTGTAAACATGATAAAGCAAGAGGTAAATTAAACTTTGTTTCCAGTAATTACTAAGGCTAAGAAAAAGTTGAATTCCTGGCTACAAAGAAACCTGTCTTTACGAGGAAGAGCTCTCCTGGCCAAAGCAGAGGGTGTTTCCAGATTGACCTACCCTGCTCTTTCTTTGCATGTCGAAAAATCAGTTTGTGTAGAGGTTGATAGAATGCTTTTTGACTTCTTATGGAAACACAAGAGACATTACATCAAAAAAAATCTGTTGTCATAAACAGCTTCGAACAGGGGGGGGGTCTTAATTTTCTGGACTTCACATTTAAAATAAATTGGTTGAGGCCATTTTTGAATAATTCTGAATCGGTATGGAACACTATTCCCAGTTATATGTTTTCTAAAGTTGGTGGTCTCCCCTTTTCATTGGTATGTAATTATAATTTCTCTAAATTGCCCATCAAATTATAAATTTCCATAAGCAGGTGCTTTGGGCCTGGCACTTAATTTACAAACACAATTTTAGTCCCCACAGGTACTTTATTTGGAATAATCAAGATATTCGATACAAAAATAATAAAAAAATTTTTTTCCAGATTGGTTTAATAATAATATTCTTTTGGTTTCTCAAATTGTAAATTCAAATGGTATCTTGCTTTCTTATTCTGAATTCTTAACTAAATATTGTATACCTGTCACCCCACGTGACTTTGGATGCCATCCCCAGTGGAGTTATTGCACTTTTATAAAACTCAGCTGATTCTTTAACCTCTTGTATTTCTTGGACACATCCTTGTGAAACAGCAATAGGGAAGATTTGCTTTTTGTCCAGTCCCTCTCTCAGGAATAGAAAAATAAGGCAGCTCTTTCAGAAAGATATAATTACTGTCCCGTCTGTAATATCTTATTGGAGTAATTCTTTTGAGGATATTCCTTGGAAGAAAGTGTGGTCCTTACCTAATAAATATCTAATCACTAATAAGGTTAAAGAGATATCTTTTAAGGTGCTACACCGGTTTTTCCCTGTCGATCTTTATCTTAAAAAATGTTTACTGAGGTGGATCCCCTCTGTTCCTTTTTGCTGAGTGGAAGATTAATCTGTTCATCATCTTTTTTGGGATCGTGTCCATGTTGCTACCTTTTGGAAGAAATTCTGTATATTTGTATGTGTTTCTATCTTAGACAATTTTTCTTTGGTGTTTAAGGATGTCTTGTTTGGTTTTTATAGCTCTCACAATAATTTAAAAGACAAGTATTTTCTAATAAATCTATTTATTTTAGATTTTCTATTTTTTATACATAAATGCACATTTTTGTCCACTAAACCTCTATTTTTTATTTTTTGTAAAGACTTGAAATGTTATTTGGATACTATATCCTCTTCCTGCAATGTCAAAGCCTTAAAATCCTATACGTTGTGCACAAAGTATAATATTTGATTTAGCAAAAATTGTGTTTTATTTATTTTCCATTTCCTCTTCTTTCTTCTCAAATTATTATTATGATTTTTTGTATAAATTACCCCTGACTTAGTGTTTGTTTTTTTTGGCTATTTTCCAGGTTCTTTGTATATTGTTTATATATCTATTATTGTTGTTATAATCTGATTTGAGTTGTAATTATGTGTGTTTATCTTTATTTATGTTCATTAAAAAAAGACAGTCAGCGGAAGCTAGAGGTTACTGTTTATTACATTTTAAATATGGATATTTTTCTTACAAAAACGCATTGATTCGCTTCAGGAGGCCTTCATTTACCCCCTGGAGTCGTGTGGGACACTTTTTTATTATGGATGGATGTGCCTTATTGGACTATTGACAAGAAACACCCACTCACTGCCATTATAAAGCTTGGAAGAGCCAGGATATTTTTTTTTTATATAACTCCGATTGGATTCATCTGAAAGAAGAAAGTCATATACACCTAGGATGGCTTGAGGGTGAGTACATCATGGGGTAATTTTCATTTTTGCACATTTTTTCATCTTGTTGAAATTATGCTTAAAATAACACTTAATTTCAGCATTTACTCTCTTTATCCAGTCCCATACAAAACATGATGGAAAGTTGAAATCATGTTCCCATGTTTGCTACTTTTAAACAGCAACAATCACTTATGTAATCACAGCTAAAATGGATTAAGTAATTTGGCTGAGCACAATGAAATTGTGACAAAATCTTGAAAGAATTGTTTAACTTATTTTAAGTACATTGAATCCAAATCCATGTTTCATGCCATATTTCCCTGTCCCTAGTTTCTTTCTTAGAAATATTATGAGGTTTATTTGATTGGTTAAATGCACCTGTTTTGTTTGTTCTGTCTGTAAAGGTGTGCAGTGATTGGTCACAGCATCACACTCATTTGTCATTGGCTGTATGTCAGTTTAAGTAAGTGAGAGTCAGAGTCATCACGCACAGTTCTGTCCTCAATTGAGAGAACCTCTTCAGTAGATGAAGATGAAGACGACACTCGCTGTGCTCCTAATCATGGATCTCTACGGACTCTCCTCTGGTCTCATGAAAGAACATTTCTTTGTGAATAAGGAGAAGTCACGGTCTTCTGCACAAGATCACTGCAAAACATACTTTCATGACCTCTCCACCTTCACCAATGAGAAAGAGGAACAGCAATTTTCAGAAGATGCAGCTCATCAAACTTCTGATGCCTGGGTTGGACTCTACAAACAATCAAGAGTCTGGAAGTGGTCAGGAGGTGAAAATGGAATACAAATGACTTGGGATACTAGTAATGAACAACCAGAAGTTGATGGCTGTGCTTTTCTACAGAGAGGCCTTAAGAAACTGCAAGATGCAGAATGCACTGCTAAATATGCCTTCTTCTGTATGAACATAATAGAGTTTCTTCTGGTGTGTCAGAAAGAGACCTGGGATGGAGCTCTGGAATACTGCCAACAACTAAACAATGATCTGGCAAGTCTGAGCACAATGGAAAGAATTAATTCTGCTTTACTGGAAATCACACAGGCTGAAACAGAATATGTGTGGACTGGTCTGCGTTTTCTAGCAGGGGACTGGTTCTGGGTCACTGGAGATAATCTTAACTACACAGCCTGGTATCAGAACGAACAGCCCCAGTGTCCTGCCAGAGACCTTCATTGTGGAGCCCTGGACAAGCAAACAAGGGTTTGGACACACAGAAACTGTGAGGAGAAGCTCAACTTTCTTTGTCAGAATAAAGTAATGAAACAAACCGATTCATGAAAAAGCAAAAAGGTAATGTTTTGTGAAAATTATGATACCCATGTCTTAAGAACAGTCCAAACTTCATGTTAACTGTGAATTTGGTGTTTTAAACAAACATCCAAAACTGTTTTTTTTTTTTTGTGCAAATTGGCATTTGATGCTAAACTTACCCTCTCATCTTCTCCTGGTTATAGAGTCCACCAGAGACAAGACTGCAATTAATTTCCAGTCGACAGAAACTTCACCCATAAGCAGCCTGCACGCATCTGGATCATAATTAATAGAAGGATATAATAAGAATATAATATAGATCACCAGAACATAATCTACATGTACATTAGGTAGAATAGTTTAATTGTATACATTATAAGAGTAATAATAATATTACTATAATACAGTTAAACTGAGCATTTTCAACAATAAAAATGGTACGAAGGAGTTTTTATTTTTATTTTTTTACTTAGTCTAATTAAAGAGTATGACCACTGATATCAGTATCAACTGGCCATCACTTAACAATTAAATATCACACTGTATATTATAATAATGAAATATTATTATATGTAAAACATAATACATATACACAATATTTCATTATACAAAGCAGATTTACATGGAATATTATGATGTTTAGGTAGATGAGAAAGAAACATCAGACTCAGGAAATTAGAAAGACAGAAATAGTGTTTTCTTGTAAAATGTACTCCAATAATCTTTGTTTTATTTGCTGATTTTACCACTGCTAGGTGCTATGCTCATTTGGACAGATGTGATTCAGCAACAGCTACCATAGTACACTAAAAAATGCTAGGTTTAAAACCACCATTGCTAGTTTATTTGGTAACCCAGTGCTGGGTAAATATCGGACAGAACGGCTTTATTTTGCTGCTTTATCTTGACCAAGTTTGGTGGGTTTTATAAATTAACCAATTTTCTGGGTTGTTTTTTTTTTTTGGCACGGTGATGGGTCAAACAACCTGATACTGAAGGTTATTTATTTTACTAATGCACTCTTCCAGATAGACTTCTGAGGCAGCATAACGGTTTAAAGATCTACAACAAAATAGAGTCAGCAATGGTGATACTAAGCAAATATACTACAATACAAATTTCTTTCTAGAAATTATTTAAAAAATGGAAAAATTTGGTCAAAAACCTACATTTCATTTACATTTACACACACACAAACTGACCACCAGCCACAACTTACAGATGGCTTTTTTTTTATTTTTACCTGAACTGTTTTGAACTGAACTGAATGCAGAGGATTGTGGGATGTCATTGGCAATGAAGGATACATCTATGCTGCCTTCAAATATCGATTAGATAAAGAAATCTCAGGAGACAGCAAGTGAAGCTAACACTAGATTCGGACATGCCTTGATGCTTTCCAAAGTTGGAATGCATCGTCCAAAGGCACCTGTTTTCAGTTTTCGGATGCAACTGAGATCTGAAAAGTTGCTAAATCAAGTGACAATCAAGTTGCTAAGTTGGCAGCACTGAGAATTAATGTGGACAGATGTATCTAGTTTCAACAAGTTTGGCACAGAGTAGCCAACACTGGGTTACACTGACCCAGTGCTGGCTAGGTGTGTGAGGGAGCTCATCATTTGTATTGTCAGTAAAATTGACCCAGCAGCTACACAAAAACTACCCAGCACCTGTGTAAAAATAATAAAAATAACCCATAATTTAAGTGTATTAATTACATTTTTTTGTTGATTTATTATAATGGTTACAATGATAGCTAATAAATAGGAGGAATGTAAACAGTGTATGGCAGACACTCGCTGCTGGGTGTACTCAGGGAAACATGGTTGGGAACCACTGGACTAGAGAACAACAAAGGACATAAAACCGAGCCTTGTGGCACACCATACTTTACAATTCTTTGGTCAAATAATTGTTCATTTACTCACATGAAGTGGTAGCAATCTGACAGGCAGAATCTACTCATGCCTATCCACAAATCTCAACACAATTTTCAAGGCATACAGAAGAAGGTAATGAGTTGTACCATCAAAAGAGTGACAACTTTCTACCAGTATATCATTTTAACCACTACATCAAAATAAGACAATAAAGAACATATGTGTTGACATTTTCTCCTCTACTGAAGATGCATTATACCAAACTGCTGTATAAAACACATAATTGAAATTAAACGCCAGTAGAAAGGGAACTGGGTTGTAAGTTTCTGAATGCTAAGTGATTTGGATGGACAAGAATGAGGTTTAACTGGATTTAAATTTTATAAGTTACCTTTCAGTCTTCAAGGAATGACTAGTGTTTTACTAACTCAACAGTTATTTCAGTGCATGGAGTAATTGTTTTCAGTGTTGCATTTAACTCCACAAAGTATGTGAAATAAAAATTGTTGGTGTTAAATTTATACTGAGCAAGGGGGGAAAAGAGGAACAAAAATGAAGAGCTGAATTACAGTAAGGGCCACACCAGTCTTAGACATAAATAACACATTTGAGACTTGGTTAGAGTTATAAGTTTGACTATATGTGGAGTTATTTGTACTCTATTTTGATGTTAAGTATTAATATAACTCTAGAGAATGGGATAACACAATCACTAGCCTGGAGTTTAGTTTAACTCTATAACAATGAACTTATCATGGCCAGTTTTACTGTAAATGATTGACATTGGCTAGCATATTCAAAGTGTGCACATGACCCACTTATGTCTTTAACTCTATCAGCCACTATAAAACAAAAATGAGGAATTACATAAACTGTGAAAGGTTATTACTGAGTGCAACAAATTCTGATTAAGATTTGGATTTACTGTTTACATTATTTTTGTCCATTGTTTTAAGACATTCTGTGTTGTGTGCCTCTAGAGCTACTCTCTTCTCTTTGTAATACTTGAAATAAGGTCTTTGATTAACACAAGCTCAGTTTATTTTCACATTTTATTCACAACATAAAATAAATCAGGGTGATGCTGCCCTACCTACAAAAGTCATCACTGCAGCGCTCTGTTGCAGTAACAGAGATTGTCAAAAACAGTCAGTTACTGCCATCTAGAGTTGTCTTTAATTTATTGCATTGATTTACACTTCTGCATTTTTTTAGTATGCCTAAATTTCATTCAAATATCATACACATGTAAAAACATCCGGTTTAAGGGAACTTTTGAGTCACAAAGACAAAGAAATGTGAATTAGGCTACTTGAAACGACATAAAAACCTATTTTAGACCAAAAGAATGTCGTCCTAGTCAAACAGTTGTCTGAACAAAGAATTTTGAATTGAACAATACTGCTGAATTTTTAAGGGTTTTTGAGATTCCAGCCTGCATTGCAGCATGAATAAATTATGCTGTTCCTGTTCAAGGAATGTTGTTTGGCTGTTTTTTGTTGTTGTTTTGTCATTATTGTTAGTTATTTGCTATGTTATATAGCTCATCTTTTTACATTTGCTGATTGTCACCATTATTGAGGTTTATGTGTTGAGGTCTATGCAAAACTATATCCCAGATATCTTTGTATGGTCATAACCCCCTCAGAAAGAGGCGCTATGAGTGTAAAGGATGGAGGTTTAATTTATGTCGCATGTTCAGAATTCAGCACAACATTTAAGTAGGGAATAACGGATTAAGATGCTAATTCAACTCACTTAGTGGTGCAGCACTTAACTCCAACCTTTATATCTGCTGTTTTTGATGGGGTAGTTAAAATTATCAACTTTATTGTGACTCTTTTAAATCGTCTAGATGACAAATCACCACATGACCACCTTTCACACTGATTTTCTGTTACTATTTCATGGCAAAACTATTGAGAAACTGTTTGAATTTCACTGAGATACATGCATTCCAAAGGAGGACAGCAGGTTGTGTATTTGGTACTTTGTTAGTAGGTTATACCCTCCGTAATTATCAGGGTCTACTAGAAATAAAATGTAATAATAAAAAAACATAAATAAATAAAAAAAGTAATCAGTAATCCTGCAAATTTCAGTAAATCCAGCAATTCTAAGCATTTTACACAAGCTTTGTAAAATATCCATATTCATTGTATCATTGATTTAACATAAGATACTGGATGATCAAACCTAAGTGTCTCTACTTTTTTTTTTGGCTGACAGGTACAACCGACATTATTTTTTCTCATGACATGACATGAAGTGCTCTCTTAGACCTAAACCATACACCATGTATATATGTGAACACAAATACTTGCTACAAAAGCTCATTTTCACATGTTGTGAAATGTTCCTGCATTCTCAGTGTTTCCAAAAGGGATGCTATAGCTGTTAATTGTCATATGGTATGTCAAAATGTCAGTTTTTTCTTACAAGTTGTGAAATCACATAATGTCAAAGCTACTACATTTAAAGAAGAACTTACCTCTCAGTCAATAGCGTAAGGTTGAGACATAATTTAAAGGATTAAAGGACAGACTCTTTTTAAGACACCTGTATGGCAAACCGTTTTAGCTTTAAATAATCCCAGTGTTACTAGTCGTAATTGCATTTTTACTAGTAACAATTCAATTAGAGAGCTCTACAATTAAATTCTTACTAGTAACAATTATGATTAGAGAGCTCTCTAATTCAATTATTACTAGTAAGAATTCCAATTACAGAGCTCTCTAATTCAATTCTTACTAACAATTTCAATTAGAGGGCTCTACAAATGAATTTTTACTGGTCATATGTTTCCATTGACTTCCATTCACTTTTAATTACAGAGCTCTACAATTGAAATTTTACTAGTAAGTATTACAATTAGAGAGCTCTACAATTGAATTCTTACTAGTAACAGTTACAATTATAGAGCTCTCTACTGTAGTTTTTACTAGTAAAAATTCCAATTAGAGAGCTCTCTAATTTAATTCTTACAAGTAAGAATGCAATTACAGAGCTCTATAATTTAAGTTTTACTAGTAAAAAACTAATTAAAGATATGTTTAATTGCATAGCTCTGTAATTGAATTAGAGAGCTCTCTAATTTGTTCTTACTAGTAACAATTGAATTAGAGAGCTCTCTAATGTAACTCTTAG